GAAACGACCGAGAGAAGGCGAAAGATAGTCTAGCGAAGTAGACTACTGCCTCACGGTGTCCCTTTTTGTGCTAAGAAGAAAGGTAACCCGTGAAACCTAGGCAAAGCCTGATTGCGCGACGACAGCTAAAGCAAAGAAGGCTTACAAAAAAGCAAGGCGAACCATCCTCGAAGATGGTGAAAAAAATCATAATTTTAACACATGGGCAAATCTCAAAAGTATGACTTCTAAACCATTAGGTAACACATGAATACATAATAGAATTAATTATCAACCCACCACAAAATGATCGTCACCTGTAATTTTCTATAATGGCCCAAAATCTCTAAGGAAATCTATATATACTCTTACCTAAGATGAAAAACACATGCAAATTCAACGATCTCCCTCTCAAATAGCTATTTCACTTTTTACTCCAGTTTAAGCATCAAATCCAATAAGTTTACAAGGCAAAAGCCTTGACTAGGTGAGAGAAATTTGTAGATCGTAATTCTACCATCAACAAATTGGGTGTTTGTGGGAAACTCGAGCAAAGAAAATCACGAATTTATTCATTTGAGTTAATGAAACATCTAAATCTGCAAAAATGAGTTAAGTAAAGGAAATTCGAAAGAAACAAGGCACTACTAGAGATTGGAAATAACAAGATCAGCATGATCCAGTCAATGCAAGTACAACCTCGAAAAAGTTACAATAAAATGCAATAACGAGACTGTAAAAGAATCTGTCTCCTGCCTAATATCGTTGCCTACAAAAGAAGAAGATCGCTGCATTTTTTAGACGATGCTGCAGAGGTTATATAGAAAATGACAGAAGATCTGAGAGCATTAATGATGGAATATGTTACTTTAAGCACAAAAATAAGGAATCTAAAAGGTCTACAATATCTAACTTCATCAATTAAATTTATAGAACTCAAAAGTTAAAATTCAGGTCCTGGAGAGAAGGTGGTAGTTATCCAAGCAACAATAGTTGGATAATGTTTTCACCATATGCTCATGATAATGGAAGTTGAGTAAACATTCTGTATGAAGAAGCTTCTGATTGAAAGCTATTTAAAACATTTGGAGGAAACTTTCAATGTATTGCGAAAATATAGAATGAAGCTCAATCCACTAAAATGCGTATTCGGAGTCAAGTCTGGAAAATTCCTAGGTACATGGTCAATCAACGGAGTATCGAAGTGAATCCCGACAAAATTCAAGCCTTTATCAAAATGCGGTCCCAACGAACCCAAATGAAGTACAAAGCCTAACAAGAAAAGTCATCGCTCTAAGTAGATTTGTATCATGACCAATGGACAATTGTTTCCATTTCTTAAAAGTGTTGAAAGGAAAAAATAAATTCGAATAGGGCAAGAATGCAAACAAGCATTCCCGGCTCTCAAAGACCACCTATGAAAAGCACCAATATTAGTGAAACCCGTAAATGATGTCCAAATGATTTCATATATCATCTGAATTTATTGAAATATTTCTTGAAAAATAACTTTGAGAAGTATAATTGTCCTAACCTCATTTTTCAGCATAATAGTTAAATATTTCGCATAATATAAATTCTATATGTATATGTGATAATTCCACATTCATAAAATTTTAAATCCACTTTAAAATAGCATTTGTGCCAATTAAATTAAGCTGAAAGTCCATCATCGAAGTTAAAAGTGTTGAAATTTTGTATCGAAAATTGGTTGTAACCAATTTAAATGATTTAAGCGGAATTCATTATTTGGTGAATGAGAAATTAATCCAAATTTAAGCCGCTTAAACATTTGTAATTGTTGAAAAATTGAGTAGAATATTGTGGAATATTCTAGAAAATGTTTGATGAAAAGATGTATCTTTTCATATGGAAGATCATGACATTTGGAGATCATAACTTTTGGTATGATTACTCTCCAATAACTATGAATCTTAATTTCAAGAGATGTGTCTCATGGTATGGCTGTGTCTTTTGACAAACCTTTCCAACTACTATATATAGATCCTCATGTGTTTGGATTGAGTACAATTCAAAGTGATAATTCCATATCATTCCATTCCATACTTATACTTTAGTTTGCATAAAACACTTGCATCAAAACATGGTTATGGTAGAGAAAGAACTCTGTTCAAGTTCGTTGGTCTAACCCATTTGGAGTGCTCTTATGTCTTGACGTGGTCGTTGTATCTTGAGAGATGATTGCTAGAAATTGTTAGCACCGATGCGGGGCAAATTCATTTTAAGGACAAAGTGTTAAACACTTGCCTCGGCTAATATCATCACTTGCATCTCATCTTTCTTTTTCCGATTTCATTCTAATTTAGTATTTTGATTTCGAAAAGTAACTATATTCTTTTCATTTCAGAATATGGTTAATTTATTTATGTGTTTTATTGCAAGGTTTGAATTAAAGAATGACGCGCGTTCAAGATTGGAAAGTGATGAATCCATAGTTATATATTCGAAGTCGGTAATTCACTAATTTGTGTTCTCAAATCAGATTTCGGTAAGTCGAATGATATTTCGATTTGACGCATATTAACGATATGTTCTTGATGAATATAATATGCACATGATCGGTGTAAAATCTACTACAAAAAGAAATAAAGAGGGCAACTCTTCCCATTATTTATGAAATTTCAACTCCATAGAATAAATAATATCAACAAAAAATAACAAATTCCTACATTTATGAAATGTTTGTGAAATGTAGAAAAAATGTTGTAAAAAAAGTGAAGATGTATGGTAATAAACACTGCTACATTCCTTTGTAGCATTGAAAAAAAGTTTTAAGAATTTTTTCATACAAACTGCAAGAGACCATTCACAATCTTTCAAATTATGTTCGGATCCATACATATGCCTATCATTATAATATAGTGAAATAACTTTATTATAATTTTCACACGACTGTAATATATGATATGTAAAGTTACATCTATGTGTTAAATCAATGGCAAATGATTTCTTTTGTAAACCATACTTTGCACACAAATTGTTAAATGCTTTTTTTTTGTTGGTGACACAGTAATAAAATTTATTACTTGTCTAATTTTATCTAAAGAAAATTTTATATGTTCAAATCCATCTTTTATAATCAAATTGATAATGTGGCATACACAACGTTGATGAAAAAATAAACTTTCAAATGCAGGGTTAAGATCATTAATAAATTTTTAATAACAACTTTGTTCACACTAGCATTGTTAAAAGTAAAATTTCGAGTTATTTCTTATATACCATATTTTTGTATAATATCTTTTAAAATCATGCATATATTATTGGCATTATGATGATATTCAACACATCTGAATGTAATAATCGTTTTATGTAAAAATCATAGGTAATCAATGTAATGAACTGTAGCAGCAATTTAATATTTTTATTACCACCGGTCCATAAATCATAGTTAAACGATATAACACTATTAAAAGTTTTTAAACTTTCAATAGCAGCTTGTTTTCTTTTGTTATATAATTTTATATTATCTAGACGAAGAGTATTTCTACAAGAAGAAGTATACTTGGGTTGCAGATAATTCTGCATGAGTTGGGTAAAGTGTATTGAGTTTATTATCGTAAGCGACATCTTTGCTGCTACAACGTATGCAGTTATTTCTTCACGAAATCTTTCCTCTAAATATACAAAGGTGGAAATAGTAGAACAAAAATTGCTAAACACTAATTCGGTCTGTTTCGAGTCGAGATCGACTGGTTTCACTTTGCAACTCCTTAATACGTGCATATTCAAATGCGTCGTGCTTGAACCGAGCTTCCAAGTAAGTTCTTTACCCCATTAATTGCAACATGTTTTCGAAATATCAACTCCATTTTGAACACCAACTTTTTTACGATTCATATGTTGCCACAATTCGAAGATTATTGTTTTAACCTTTTAGTCCCGAGTACTTCTTCATCTTCGATATCTTTCAAATCAATTGGAACATTTTAAGATGTATCATAATCGGATGTAGTACTCGAACTACCTTTAAACTAATTAATTTCATCATTAGTAAAATCTATCTATAACTATTATAGCAAAATGTACTGAAATATTAGAGTAAAAGAAATTGGAAATTAGAGCAAAGAAATTAGAGATTGAAGTTGAAACTAGAATACTGCAAATTTAAATTGATTCAAATAAATTGATATGAAACTTCAAATTTTACAACATATTTATAGTAAAAAAAATATATCAATTTCAACCAAATATTTCAGATTTGAATTTAAAATTTGAAATTTGACGTGTACAACACAAGTCACGTGTAGCTGCCTAGGGAAAAAGGCAGCAATATCAACGTCTTTTTTTTATTTGAAGGCTATGCTCGGCTCTTCACGAATCGGCCCGTATGACTCGTCGAGCCACAAGGACTAACTCGGACTCTAGCTGATGCCCTAAAATGGGGCTCGGCTCGAGCTACGAGTCGACCCGACTCAAACTTTTCTGGAGTCTAGCGACGGACTGTCCGAGCGGACTAGGAACGTTGACCAGTAAAAACACTCACGACCCCACTACCTTAAAATATGCGATTCTTACACGTATAGTCAAGCGCCTTCCACAGCAACAATTTTTAGGAAGCAAGAATCAGAGAACTGAAAGCTTAACGAGTTACAGCAAGAGAATTAATGGAGGTTTGGAACAGAGAAACAGTGCCAAAAGTGATGGAGATAGTGAGCAATAGACTCCCTCAAAGGGATCTCACATCTCTCTTGCTTGTCAGTCCTTGGCTTCATCGCAGTCTCTCTTCTCACCCCTCACTCTGGCTGGTAATTGTTTTATTGTTTTATTTATTTATTTTTTGGGGTTTTTTATGCCCTTTTCTTATCTGGGTTATTTTCAGGTTCTTGATTTTCATGAGATGAATAATGCTGGAAATCGCCTCGTGGCAGCCCTCTCTGCGGTTAGTTTTTTTATTTTCCTTCTCTTCTTTATCTACTTTAATTAATCGGTATTCTTGATGGTAAAGGTTTGGTTGGTGAATGGTGAGAGACTGCTAGAAAAGAAAGTATTTCAATTTACTAACCTTGTAAGGTTCACAAATGCAAAAAATGGAAATAAATTACACTTGGGTTACCAAATGCAATACCAATTTCCTTTTTCGAATTAAACCGAGCAATAATGCTGAAATATTTGATTTCACTTTGTATGGTGTGTTCTACATAAATGTGTACTATTTTGTTTTGTAGCCGAGATACGGAAATGTGAAGCATATAAGCCTTGAGTTTGCACGCGACGTTGAAGATAAGCATCTTGAAATCGTCAAAAGCAAGGTGGTATTTTAAACGTCTTTGTCCTATAGAAGGGAGAAGTTTTGCTTCCTGTGACAGTTGTGAATTCATATGCAACACGCTTACCCGCTTGAAGCCAAACGACGATACTTGATTTAAGTTTATGTGTGCTTCTACATTCAATTTTCGTAATATGAAGTTCAAGTTTTATCAGATAGGGATAGTGTCCTTCTCAAAGTTTTTCATTCCAAACTGTAATTTAAGTTTGTTGCAAAGAAAGGGTTATAAAGTAGTCTTATCACGAGTGCTTCTCTTATGGCTATGGAATTTCCAATTGCACAACTATCAGTAAATTTGTTGCAAAGAAATGTTTATGAAGTAGGCTTATCACAAGTGTGTTTACGCATAAGCTTTACAGATTGGAATTTTAGAGATGGACCAATCTTTAAAAATTGCTGAACCTTTCGCATTAAATAATTGGACCCGGTAATAGAATAGAGGAAGAAGGAAGTCATCTTAATTAAGATTAGCTACATCAAGTAGCTTTTGAATACTGACTTAAATATGTAAATTAGAGATTACAGGTCATGTATTTTAAAAACTTGCAATGGGATCCAAAGATATGAATAATTTTGAGGGGTTGTGGATGTTGTTAAATAGTAAATTGAATAGAACTTCTAGAGAATAGCCTTCTCCTGGACTTGAGTTTCATCAGGATTGTGACGGCGTAGTCTGTCTAACATATAGAAATCTTTTGTTAGTAAAACCAAGCTCTGCTTGAATTTCTTGCGACAATTGGCTTAAGTTATCTGCTTTAGAATCTTGCCAACGTAGTGGTTCTACTTTGTCATCCCTTTGCTCTAAATTGTGACAACCTCATGTGCATGTTCAATCCATTGACCCGTAGATGCAATTTTCATTAAAAATAATAATTTTGTGATTTTTTGTCATTTGCAGTGTAGAAATTCCCTTGGAAACCTTGAGGTTTTGAATTTGAACGGCTGCCAAAAAATCTCAGATAATGGAATTGAATTTATAACATATGCTTGTCCTAAGTTGAAGGCTTTTTCAGTATACTGGAACGTAAGGTGATGGATGCCTCACTTGATCCTCACACTGCTTTTGTATCAGTTACTGGTCCGCTGGGAATAAAAGCATATTTTTAACACTTATGGACTTTGGCTACAATTTGAATTTCAGGGTTACGGATCTTGGCATTAATTATTTGGTGAAGAACTGCAAACACGTGATTGATTTGAACTTGAGCGGCTGTAAGGTATAATGAAGTATTTGTTTGATGCCATGTACTGCAACAGTTACATATTACCTGTACTTACTTGCTCCTGGTGTGTTATGTTACTTCTCTTTCTATTTAATATATAAACAAGATCTTCAACTCGAAGAATGCCATGGAAAAGTGAATTTCTCCATTTTTACATCTGAATGAATTTGATCTATAATTCCTTTCAATGATGCCCCTCACAGAAAAAGTCTGCGTGGAAGAAAATACAAGCTAATTGAAGGGTATACGAAAATAACAAAGGGAATTAATAATGACTAAAGCTTTCTAACATTCTTGCCCCAATCCTGGAAGCAATAGTTTTCCAGTAGTTCATCTTGGGCAGTACTTACATTTGCCCGATATTTGCACAAGCAATGTTGAGTATTGTGTTTTTATGGAGCGTGTAGAGTGTGCTAAGTCCACATCTTTGTCATTAAACATGAAAAACTGATATTTTTTGTTTATATTTTGGACTTTCATAGAAAGAATATAGCCACTTTACTGCTTTGTATGAGGAAAACATTATGAAGCTTTTTCCAGAAGAACTAAAACTATGGTTTCATATGCAATGCTTTATCTGAAAATTGCAGAATATCACGGATGAAGGTTTGAAATTAATTTCTGAAAATTATCGAGAGTTGGAAGAATTGAACCTCACAAGGTAAGAGGCTTATATTTTAGTGGTTTTATGAGTTTGTTCCATTAGAATTAAGAAACAAAGGATGAACTCTGGTTCAAATGATCTGGTCATTACAAGGTATATTGATTGCCGTCTTTTTTCCTGCACTGTTTGAAGTTATTTCCGCTAAATGCAATTGCATACTCCAATTCTTTTGAGATCATAAAGGGTCAGGCATTTTGTGGCACTTTTAGCAGAACCTTTTAAAAGATAAGTATGTTTTTTAAACTCAAAAGAAAAATGGACTGATACAGCATATGATGCAACGTACCAAGCCAAAGCTGGCTTTTTCATAATATAGAGCAGAGCTTACTTTGGAAGGAAAATATTCTTAGATATACCCAATTCAAACACATTTCTCGGTTCTGCTAGGTTCTAGAAATACTTCTCCAAGTTGAAGCAGCAATACTCCATCTTCAACTTCTAATAATGTAGCTGAATGTGTGTTACACTTATTTTGAAAAATCCTGGGATTACATTCCTTCAATAGGTGATACAAGATAATGGATAGGGTTTTGGTTATTGATGCATAAAGTAACACTTTTCCATTTAGTGAAGTTGTCTGGTAACATGTCTTTCGTAATCACCTATTCATTTACGGTATTTAATTAAGGAATTTAGCCCTTATAGGGTAAGCTGATCCTCTTGTTTCTGTCTCATGACCCTTGTATATCTAACCATTCTCCTCCTATGTTGATTACTATTAAAGGTGTTATTAACTTTGGTTTCAAGTTTTCCCTTTTTTTTGGACGCGACACTAGAAACTTAAGCAACTATTGATTCAATGTTTATCTCAAAAAGTTTTCTGGAAACTATAAGTTTAGTCTCTGTCACAATTTAAGAGATTGAAGCCTGATATAGATCTGAGGAGGATCATACCTTAAAAACTTGCTATAGAAATTTGAGAGTCCAAGTCTATGTAAACCACATGATTCAAGTCTCATACCTTGCAATAAGAACCATGACAATCTATCATGTTCCGCGATCCTCGCACCCACGTTGGACTGGTCTTGAATTAGCCCACGACTAGTCCCAGACGAATACTGCTATGATGGCGTCACCATTCACGTCGCTCGAGTGCAATCTGGAGATATAGTGCTTGGTCTGATACATTGATATATATCTTGAGAGCTCACTATTCGTTCTAAACTAGTTATGGGCTAGTGCAAACTCAGTTTCACATGGGCGTCGGGATCACAAAGTTTGGTGGATTGTTATTGTTCCCATCGCAAGGTATGGAACTTAAATCCCACATCGGAAGTATAAACCTTCAGTGTGTGTAGTTTATATAGATTTTGGCTCTCCAACTTCAATAGTCATTTTTTGAGATATGACTCTCCCAAGATTTATATTAATAGCAAGCACCATATCTCCCGATTGCAATCGAACGGCACATGATGCCGACATAGCAATGTTCATTCGGATCTAGTCATGTGCTAGTGTAAAGAGAGTCTGATGTGAACATTGGGATTGCGGAGCGTGGTGGATTGTCGTGGTTCCCCATTGCAAGGTATGAGATTCGAATTCCAAATCAAAAGTATGAACTTTAGATGTATGGTTTATATAAACTTGGACTGTTCAACTTCAACAGCTAGCTTTTGAGGTATGATTCTCCTAAGATCTATATTAAAGCCTCAAGTTAAACAGTTATATAAACACCATTTTTCTTAGATTTCAAATTGAATAGCCACCACTTTCGAAAATGGCAATTATCGTGGCAAATAAGGACACATTTATTTAACAACACTGTATAGACTCGCTCAAGTCTTGCTTAATCTTGTATTGTGAAGAGAGAAATCGGTCAAACAAAGTGATGCATCTTTCTCTTGTGAACTTTAAATTTATGTGCTGCCTTCGAGACTATGCTTAGTTATCAAGACCTTTTTATTTGTCTAGATGCATCAAGCTAACAGATGGTGGTCTGCAAAAGATATTGCTTAATTGCTCCTTGCTTCAGAGTTTGAATCTTTACGCCCTTTCGAGGTATAAATGAATTTATTTGCTCTCACAATTTATGCTGGGTTACAGTTTAGAATTTTGAGGGTCGTGTGATTACTTTTTATACAGCTTCACGGATGAAGCCTACAAAAAGATTTCACTTTTGGATCACCTACGATTTTTAGATCTCTGTGGTGCTCAGGTATGATAATGGTTAAAATAATTATTTACCAGAACTGTCGCTTTTGTGTAGTAAATGAACTATTGCTATAACACTGGTGTGTTAACTCCAATTTTACATGTCAGAATCTCTCTGATGATGCACTTTCTTGTATAGCTCATTGCAAAGCGTTGGCATCTCTCAATTTGACATGGTAGAGAAATAATTGTACTCATCATGTTTTCATAATTTACCAAGATACCTGACTTTCTGTCTTATATTAACAGGTGTGTGCGCATCACTGATCAGGGAATCATATCCATTGCCAAAAGCTGTAGATCTCTTGAATTTCTGAGGTGAATATTATGCCCTTGTTTGAGCTCCATTATTTGAAAAAAATTGATTTTGGAAGTGTTTTTTTTGGAGATGTGTGGTTAAAAAGTAAGGAGAATTTTTGGATTTATGTGTAATATTATTTTATTGATTGAATGTGTAGTTGATAAAAGGAGAGAAAAATGAATTAAAATATAACGGGGGCCATACATGGGCTATATAAATGAACATTGACATCATTAATCACAGCTATTTGAGTGGTTCCCATTGTATGAATACCTGTTCTGTTAATTAGCCACACTAGATACTAGTATTTTAATTACTATATAAGCCAAAATGATCTATTCATGGTGCATTCGAATTTCTTCGTTAACTGAATCTATTTTGTTCAGTTTTAGAGTAGAAAATAGCTTTATATATTGAACAAAAGGGTCATTTCTTTGTCCAATGGTAAAATGAGAGCATAACTATTTTGGTTCAAGAACTTTGGAATAAATGAAGGCAATGTGCATAAAGAGCTGCGGTTATGGCTCGCTCACCTGATGGGACCTAATTGATTTTTATCAATTGCAAGAACAAACATATGGTTTGTTGTTTTATTGTTTTCTTGCAAATTGTTTACATCTTTGGAAATTGACCACTATAAAACACTTTTTTCTAACCCTGGACATTTCAAGCAACCTGTCAACTTGTTCTTAAGATTATACTTGTTACTGTTGATACTGCAGCTTGTTTGGGATTGTTGGAGTTACTGACAAGAGCCTGGAGGCCCTCTCTAGCTTATGTTCAAATACAATTACAACCCTTGATGTCAATGGTTGCATTGGCATAAAGGTAGATAAGCTACATTTGTTAGAAATGAATGTTTGGCATTTTGTCATAAATTGTGAATTCTCTCTCTGCTCTAGCTACAAACAAGCAGGGTAATTCAATGAAGTGTGGCAATTACCGGTGATTTCATGATCATCAAAGTTGGTTGCACGTTACCCTGCCATCGTAGATGAAGTGCATATTGTATTTAATCCAGAAATTTTACCATATCTATGCACTCAATGAGTATATGCTTATTTATGCTGCCATTACTTTCGCCATTCATAACACACTATATTTTTACGTCAGAGACGAACCCGTGATGAACTTCTTCAGCTGTTCCCAAACCTGAAGTGTTTCAAAGTACATAGCTAAGTTGTGGTTTGTGGAAGACAGTGATTTCTTCCTTGAAAGTGAGTACAGCAACCCCGTATTCCAAGAAATCGCTTCTTAACCTAATTGTCTGTGGTGAAATTTCAAAGTAGAATTTTCCTTGGGCTCTTGAACTAGCATGTTTCAGTGGATTTTATTTTCTCTTCGACCTTCTATTATTGTAGAGCAGGATGGGGAAGGGATGAACAGCATTAGCTGTTTCCAATCTGACCAGCAATCATTTACCATCATGGACCGGCTGTTCAGATTTTATTAGTTGCAGAAGTTTCAGAGATTCGATAGTAGGTTAAAAGAGATTTTCCCAAATCATCTGGTATGTTATTTTCTGATGGTGAACTATCATATCTCAGTATTTTTTGTATCCCTAATAAAAAGAACATTTGTTTTATAAAGTTTCCTGGATAAGATTCTCATTTGAAAAGAAACAATCTAGCTTCATAGGTATAATTTTTGAAGCAAATGACGCAACAGAAATCCACATAAAATGACACTATAAATTGGTGAATTATTGTGGAGGATGATGGCAGTAATATATGCAGATGCAATGACTTCCTCTGCATTTTCCTGTTAACATTTGCTGCCTGAATCCATTTTATACAAACCGAATCATTACTCATCTGCCGTTGCCAAGCTGCACTGAATTCAACTATCACGCCATGAATAAAAAGTATTTACTTACCAGAAAATAAAATAAAATAGTAACGAGAAAGATGACTGTAGATGATTTCGAAAAGAGTATGCTATTTAGCACCATTGTTGTTAAAATATCAGTTTAGATCACGTTAAGGTGACATCTTTAATTACTTTTGTTTTTTCTAAATGAATCACTTAATGTTATGTTTCATTGAGCATATCTCATAGCGTCACTTAAATTGGTGTCATAGCATTATTCTTTCGAGAAGGCTAATTCACAAAAATACATTGTACGAATTCATTTATTGTGAAATTAAAATGTCATGAGTTGTGTATTCCTACTTCCATGCCTAATATGAATATACTTTGCTATTCTGTTCAGCTTTATTTTTATTTTTTAATTATTGGAAAGATAAAAAGTGGTAGTGAATATTATTACTTAGAAAACTTATCACTTATTTGAGCCCTATTTTTTGTGTAGAATGCATTTTGGAATGGTATATCGATGGAAAATGTGTGATTAAAAAATAAAGAAAATTTTTGAGTTTGCGAGTAATATTATTTTATTAAAAAATGTGTGGTTGAAAAGAAGAAAAAAAAATATATTTTAGAAAAAATGAGGATCAAACAAAAGTAATTAAAGTTAACAAAAATAAATTAAAACATAAAAAGCATTAATCTAAAAAATAGTAAAAAATACTCTTTTTATACGAAAATTAAAGTTGTAACTATAGAATACAAATTTGTGATTAATATATAATAACAACGATTCAATTTAATATTTAAAAGGTTCCAGCGTAATAGCTGGAGAAGCAAAAACTTAATATCAATATAAAATAAGAAATAAGCTCAGCAAATAAAACGAAAGTTCTAGTATTATGTTTGCACCATAAAGAAGAGATTATCATATAATAGAAGACAGAACAACTGACTTACAACTCGAGAATAACTGCTTAAATATAGAGTTGAAAATGGATTAAGACTCTCCTTGAGACAAAGCAATGTTTCCTTATATAGAAGGTTCTGGACTTCACTCATTTGATAAGCACAAATTGAGGGGCCTTCACATGGATTCCTCAGAAATTTTTTGCTTTCATTGCCTCTTCACATGTTTCCTCCACAAAATTCAAAAATCCCTTTTGTCTACACATGAGATATCACATGCACTTTGAGTCAAATTTCATGTGAGCTTTAAGCTTTTGCCTGTCACTAATTTGAAATTCTCAAGTCTTCACATTCACTTTAAACAAAATGTTTTGTGAACTTCAAGCCTTTGTCTCCCACAATTTTGGTACTCATAAGTCTTACTTATATCATTCTCTTTTCAATAAAGAGAGATTCTTTCTTGTCGTTTAACGACAATTCTTTTTAACTTTTTTTTTTTAGACTGACCAGATTTTCAATCTTAAAAATATGGGTAAAACCATTCGTAAAGGTTTACACCCTCGTTTACACTCCCTTCACATGAGGGGAGGGCCCACGATGAGATTTCTAGCAAACCGACAATGATGGGTTGGGTTTGGGTTGAGCCAAAAACCGACCCAACCCACGCCCACCCCTAGGTGCAAACATAATACTAGAACTTTCGTTTTATTTCATCACATTATCATATAATAGAAGACAGAACAACTGACTTACAACTCGAGAATAACTGCTTAAATATAGAGCTGAAAATGGATTAAGACTCTCCTTGAGACAAAGCAATGTTTCCTTATATAGGAGATTCTGGACTTCACTCATTTGATAAGCACAGATTGAGGAGCCTTCACATGGATTCCTCAGAAATTTTTTGCTTTCATTACCTCTTCACATGTTTCCTCCACAAAATTCAAAAATCCCTTTTGTCTACACATGAGATATCACATGCACTTTGAGCCAAATTTCATGTGAGCTTTAAGCTTTTGCCTGTCACTAATTTGAAATTCTCAAGTCTTCACATTCACTTTAAACAAAATGTTTTGTGAACTTCAAGCCTTTGTCTCCCACAATTTTGGTACTTATAAGTCTTACTTATATCATTCTCTTTTCAATAAAGAGAGATTCTTTCTTGTCGTTTAACGACAATTCTTTTTAACTTTTTTTTTAGACTGACCAGATTTTCAATCTTAAAAATATGGGTAAAACCATTCGTAAACGAGGGTGTAAGGTTTACACCCTCGTTTACACTCCCCTCACATGAGGGGAGGGCCCACGATGAATAAAATAATTGTGGCCCCCCTATTGTGAGGGGGGCAGGTGGGACCGAGTAAACGGGGGTTTACACCCTCGTTTACACTCCCCGCACATGAGGGGAGGGCCCACGATGAATAAAATAATTGTGCCCCCCCCTAATTGTGAGGGGGGCAGGTGGGGCCAAGTAAACGGGAGTGTAAACCCTCGTGTACGAATAGCATGATCTTTTTGCTTGAAGTGCGTGTGAAGATTTGAGAGTTTCAAAATAGTAGCAAACAAAAGTTTAAAGCTCAGAAGACATTTGGCTCAAAGTGCATGTGATATGGTTATCACGTGTGAAAAAAAGGAGTTTCTGGTTTTTGTACAGAAAACATGCGAAGATGTAATGAAAATAAGAAATTGTTGAGGAATTCATGTGAAGACCTCTTAATCTGTGCTTATCAAATAAGTGAAGTCTGTAATATCATATGTAAGGAGACATTGCTTTGTCTTAAGGAGAGAGTCCCTTTTTCCATTTTCAGCTCTATATTTTAGCAGTTATTCTCGAGTTGTAAAAAGGTGTCTGTGCTTTCTGTCTTCTATTGCATGATATTTTGATGAAGAAATAAAACGAATGTTTTAGTATTCTGCTTCCATTATAACAAAGAGATTTTGGATTGCTAAGCGTATTTCTTATTTTGGAATGATATCAATTATTTGCTTCCCAAGCTATTATGCTGGAACCCTGTAAGTATTAAATTTAATTGTTGTTATTATATATTAATCATGAATTAGTATCTTGTAGTTAGAACTTAATTTTTGTATAAAAAAATAGAATTTTTTATGTTTTAATTTACTTTTGTTTTAACTTTAATTAAGTTTTCTGAGTAATAAATTTCACCATCACTTTTTATCCTTCCTAATACTACTGGTAGCAGAGCCACTTTTCTTGCGAGGGTGGGGTGATTGGGCGGAGCCACGAATGTTGCCCAGTGCGGGCAAAATATAATCAAAACTGGACGTTGAGTTTTCGGTCATGAATGTAATGATGGTAAAAATACAAAACAATATTACAATAACATTAAAAATGATTATATCACTTAAAGAGAGGCAAAAAAATCAAGAGACATGAAGCATTTCAGCCATCCTCATGATATGCAGGTTATAGAAGAGCCAAGCGCAAGTAAGCAACGCATATGTATTTGTTGTAATCTACCATTATTTGGTTCTAGTTACACCTGTTCATGCTGCTATTTTAACCTTCATAATTTCTATTTTGAGTTGCCACAATCTGGTCAATTTAAATCCCACACTAAACACAATGGATTCACCTTATACAATTGCTCTGTGCAATTTCAATCTCCATGCCACAATCTGCTCAATTTAACTACTACAAAGTTCAGCAATTGCAGAAGTTATGAATTGAGGCTATTAATTAGCATCCATTTTACCGTCTGTCATCTCAAATGAACCCTCATCTAGTCATCTTATCTTTATCCCACTATGCACACTTTTCGCATTTGAATTTCCTTAATAATATGTTCTTTTTTTCAATTCAAATCCAATTGGTTTTTGTGTATTTGGTAGATTTCTTGATTCTTCCATTTATTCATATATGTTTGCCTATTTTCAATTAAGACCCCGAACAAATTTTTTTACCAATTACCAGCATTAGAAGGAAGAACCCAAAATCCATTACCATATTTTCCATTGATGAACCCATTACCATTCCCATTATTCTAGAGTCATATACATACATATCAAACAAACAAGCATAATTTTTACTGTCTAAATAAAATAGAAAAAAATACACAACAAACTATTCAATATTTCAATTCAATTGATCTTAAAACAAAATCAGAACAATACCTTGAAGCTGGGCAGACATCCGATGTTGAGGGCAGGCAAGTTCCCTTGAGGCCTTGAATCTTAATGGCAGTTAAGTTCAGGTTCTCTTGAATGTATGAAATCAAGATGATCCAGGGCCCTTTCTTTACACCAATTTTAACACAATTGTTGGGCCGGATATTAATTTGTTAAAAAAACTAATACTACTAAAAAAAATGGTTTAATGGACTATTGCACTGGCCTATAGGTGTCTCCGCCACTACCTCCAAGGATGACATTTTCTCATATTGTTGCTGTATTTATGGTGGATTGCCCTTCATCTGATATCTCGATCCTGGTTATTAACCCATGAGAATTTGGGATGCTTGTTCAAACCCGGATGATATTTGTTGGGGGTAGGGGTTGTTTTGTCGCCTTTGGAAATTTTGCGGATAGCTCACTTCTACAAGTTGAACCATGTGAGTGGAAGCTGGAAGGCAACTGATAGTAATATGATCTGCCGCACAACCTGCACAAACTGAGGTCGACTGGTGTANAACTGATAGTAATATGATCTGCCGCACAACCTGCACAAACTGAGGTCGACTGGTGTACCATATTCATAGACTGGGATAGATTGTCAAG